GTGAAAGCCTCATCTCCCGTTGTCATTTCTAATTATTCCTAGGTCAGTGCTTGTCATAGTTACATCTGAATCAAATTGCATTTGACAGTGTTTCTTTGACACGCTCTAGATTGTTATTAGGTAGTTTTCGCCGCACGACGTTAACCTTAAAGTCAGGCTCCGGAGGAAAAAAAATTGATATGATGTAGCACTGATTTTAAGACAGAAAAAAGTTGTCTGACGAAAAACTGGGGAACGGTGAATGAGATACAAATTTTTGAATATTTAAAAACTTGGAGAAAAAGGGGCGTAACCGCCTTTTTTTTACACATTTTCCCCCCAGTTTTTAAATAGGCCTATTCAAAAATCTGTACGGTTTACAAAAAGGGGCAGAGCTATCTTGTTGCATGTTGGTTAAGGTTAACGTCGTGCGGCGAAAACTCGTACAGTACGGTACCGTACGGTAATAAAAGTCTGTCACACACTATCAAATTTTATGTGACAAATATGTGTGATGTGCCTATATATGGGCAAGATGATGTCATATTACATCCAAATATGGGCATATCACAGTTATTTGTCACATAAAATTTGATAGTATGGACATAGCTTTAGTCTCATGGTCTTTTTTTATCCTACACGTCTATCCTTCCATTATTAAAGTTTAAACTAGAAGACAGTTTTTAACGTAAGTCAACAATAACGTAAGACATACGGTTTCTTTTATTATAAGAAACCGTTCTTACGTTTCAGATAAAAAATGGTTACGGAGTAAGCAATTGCATTGTAACATATTGGTTTCTATTTTATACCATAGGCCTAAATCATGCCTTCACAAAATAATTAAATAAACCTATCTATGCCTATGTGTTGTAACAGATAAGAAACATAAAAACATTATAAAGGTATTGCATGTTCACAAATATGCAGAAGGTCTGGCCTATGCCGACAGAAACATGCCTGATGACGTACCACTAAAAACCATTAACCATTAACCATTGAACAAATTAAGTTAATATCTGATAATCATCATAATCATCATAATTTTAAAAATTGTAAAATTTCTGCAGCGAACATTAATTAACGGAAACTCGTCAAATCCAGGTTCGACGCTGAGACGTTGTTACCGTACAGCACCTCGTCGCCAGGCTGGCTACTGTCGTATCCCCGCTGATTTTGTCGGCGAGTTCATTAACTATATTTGCTCGTTCTTTTCGACTACCCGCATTACTGTCACATATCTGGAATGATTTTCACGGCAGCACGATTTAACACTTTTATCCATCTGGAAGTCAAAGTGCCGAATCCAGGTTTAAACGTTTTCGAAGATAATTACAACAAGCAGTAACTGGGTTGGGTGCCAATTTGCTTAGAACGCTTCGATGAAGACAGACAACGAATTTAGTTCTACGGAGGTTGACAGTATCTGTGTTTAATATCCAGACTCTTTTGAGTCCTTCCATATGAATCCAACGCACTTTTTTGCCGGACCCCCTTCAAATCGCCCAATATTTGCATGTTGGGGGTTCTACCTGAGATAACCCCCGATGAAATGTTTGGCTCTGCGCCAGCATTTTCTGATTAGTTAGAGCAATTTGAAATTTTCATGAGATTTGGCTAAAAAACTCACTTTCTGACAGACAACTGCTGTTATCTCTCTTGAAACTCAACGTATTGCATTTATTATCAAATAGAAGTGGAATTACATGATAGAATATTCATTTTTTGATGGTTTTTATGGCGGCAATCTTGAAATTCAAAATGGCTGTTATTCTAGATTTATGAAACCATGCATATGTTTAAACATCAAATTTAGCAGTTTTCTTCAAAGAGAAGTGGAATTACATACTAAATTATTCGATTTTTCAGGATATTTATGGCGGCCATCTTGAATTTCAAAATGACTACCATCCTAGCTTTTTGAAACTATGTTTATTGTATTCAGAGAGCCCAAAATCATATGATTAGATCCAAATTTACCATTTTCCTTAGAGGATATGTGGAATTATACTGAAATATTATTTTTTTAACCATTTTTAAGACGGCCATCTTGAGTTTCAATATGGCTGCCATTTTACGTATTCGAAACCTGTCTCATTGGCTCCAGTGACCATAATAATAAAAAAAATAACATATAGTTAGACACCAGATTTGCCCTTTTTCATTGGATATAAGTGAAGTTATGAGTCAATTCCGCCCTTTTTCTGGAGGTTCTCCATCGCTCAATTTCTTATTTATACCGTACCCTAATGATGCTAAATCAGCAGTGAAACCTTGGTCCTAGAAAAATGGTCACGGGGCCCCTGATTTTCACTATACAGTACTATGGTGCCAATTTTTATAGAATCTATCAGCAGATTACCTTGAAACTCAGTGAAACTATCAATAACTAGGCACAAAATGTAGTCTAGAGCTAATATATTTCATTTGCCCAAAATGAAACTTTAGGGGCATCATGTGGGCTAAGTGTCCTAACTGAGGCGGGAATTTTCCAAAAATCGAGATATATTTATATTTATTTATTTATAAGCGCTTAGAGGCCTTGTAAAGGCATGAAGCGCTATATAAGAACGACATATTATTATTATATACTTTTGTGATATTTTGGGTCAAAGGTCAAGGTCACGTGACTTGACCTATATAATTCTCACTAGTCCGGACATCATCGAGTTGCATATCATTGGAAAGAGAATCTTCTCTATCCAGTGGTACCAACATTTCTCCAATACGTTGAGTTTCAAGAGATATATCAGCAGTTGTCTGTCAGAAAGTGAGTTTTTTAGCCAATCTCATGAAAATTTCAAATTGCTCTAACTCATCAGGAAATGTTGGCGCGGAGCCAAAAATTTCACTGTGGGGTTATCTCAGGTAGAACCCCCAACATGCAAAATATTGGGCGATTTGAAGGGGTCGGGCAAAAAAGTGTTTTGGATTCATATGGAATGACTCTTTTGCTAAAATAGGCCTATCGTTTTGGTCAAAATTAAGTCAGTTCAGCAGATCGATCAGCAGTCAGATCTATAATAATAATAATAATAATAATAATAATAATAATAATAATAATAATAATAATAATAATAATAATAATAATAATAATCTCTTTATTTATACACGGCAAAAACCCAAATAGAAAATACAATATCAAAGAGAAATTGTAAAAAGTTGTTCTTCCTTGAGTCCGTGGTTCATTAATTAACAACAATAATAAAATTAATAATAATAATATTAATAATAAAAAAAACAAAAGCATCAAATCATTAAACAACAATAATTATATAAAAGTTAAAATTCATCACAATAAATATTATCAGTAATATTATTAATAATAATATCAATATTAAAAACAACAAAAACAATAACAACAATAACAGCAGAAAATTACAGATAAAAACCCCTAGGCCTACTCAATTTAAGATAAAACATCAGAAGACATGAGAATTCTCACAAAACAGTATAAAAAACAGCAAGATATAAGATTCAATAAGGTACCGTAACTCACACAGAATTACAAAACGAACACGGAAGTAAGCAAACATTACCATCAGTTCGTAAAAGCTTTAAAGATGTATCGATGGTTTAAAAGGTTATACTGTAGGACAGATGGCTTGCATACAAAATTCAGAAACTTGAAAAGACTCAGAGGCAGTGACGTATCTAGGAACTTGGATATGGGTGGGGGGATAATATGAAGACAGCCGATTCAAGAGAAGTCAGGAGCTGGCCACAGATAGCAGGGGCGGATCCAGAAATGTCTGATAGGGGGTGGGGTGATCGAGAGACAACCCCGGGAAATTTGTGTTTTCAGACGCCCAAAAATGATCTCTGAGGCGTTTTTTTTTTCTTTTTCTTTTTAGATTCAAATGGGAACCCCCTCCCCCCAAGTCTGCCCCGGGGATAGAAACAGGTGGAATCTGATCACTGATGGTGTAAAGGTACAGACGACAATTAAGTGAACAGATAATGGTGAAGATAATAAATAACTTTCAAAATGGATTTTTTTTTTTGTCAAATTTTGTAAAACAACTATAAATTTATAACGTTGCTGCAAAGTTGTATTAACGTCTTTTTCTGACATGACATAATGACTTACTTAACCACAACGTTTGCCAATCTTATTTGAATGTTTTGTGTTTACTGGGTAAGGGCACCTCCTTGATAAGGGCTACTGGTGCCCTTGTATTCTAAAACGTGTCGAAACAGCTTAAAATGGCACAAATCGCCCATAATATTTCCAAGAAGTCTTCTACAGTACTAAAAGTATCCTTACCGAGTACCACCCCATCCCCCCCCCACCCCCGTCGGGAAGAAAAACCACAATTCGTCAGAGGGAGAAAGAAAAAATATGCCTATATGTATTTTCTACATAGGCCTATTAGTAAACTCCAAAAATAGTTTAGATACCGTACCGTAAGCCCTTTAAACCCCTAAATGCCATATTTTTCGGGGACTGCGCCCCCTGGAACACTTTCGAGAGATTTTGAAGCGGCGCCCGACCACTACCACTTTTTTTGTAGAGGAAATCGGTCCCCCGTAAGGGGACCTGGACTCAGTCCGTTCACGTCGTGGAAAATCTTGGCGCACCCCTGCTGCAAGCCCTCTGCTTGTCGATTTGTCTGTGACTTGGATCCAACGTTCAAAACAGGTCTGCCTTTTTGTGTTCATATCTTAGTTCATGTGTGTGGGTGTGAATGTGTGTTTGTGCTTTGTTTTTGTGAATTTATACATTTTTAATTACATCATCTAATTTAAATATCCCAATATATATGATTTTTTGTAAAATAATATTTACAATATAATAATAAATAATTTTCAATTGAATTTTTAAGTGGGTTCTATGTGTGTGTGCCTAAAGTACAATTATTTTATTAATTAAAGAATTTTGCTTGTTAATTATTTTTCACGGTGAAGGATATACAGTAATTATGCCTAAAAGAAATCGCGGAAAAGAACCAAAATAAATAATTTTATCAAATTTTGTTTAGAATTAAATTTAAACTTCTGTCTTTTTCTTTGGTCCATAGGGTCGGGAGGTGGTGAGGTCACAGCCTACACTCCCATCTTTCCCGGTGAGTAACAAGCAAGCCAAAGAAAATTATGCCCCACCATGAAAACCTGCTACAATTAGACTAAGTCGATATGCAAATTTATGCAAATTTTTAAATCCACCTGTTATGGCTATGCTTGTCCATCTTTGCACACACTTTAACTTTTTGGAAATGTTTTCATCCAAGATTCACAGCGGCAATGCTTCATCGCTCATTTTATTTTTTTCATGTTTTTATTTTCATCCGTCTTTTCATTTGTCTTCTGGCATGCAGCCAGTGACTGTGTTTAAATGGTTTCTTTGTCTTTTTTTGTGTGGATAGTTGCAAAGTATTTATATTCGTAGCTCAGTGATTGACAATATTGCATGCGCCATAATGAGTGTTGGCAAGATCTTTTGTGTTGAAATATTTTAAATGTGTTTTCAGCATGAGAGATGGGATATAAAAAAACAAGATATAGCGAGTTGTGTGCAATCTATGTTGCTTAATGTGTTCTGTTGCTGTTAACTGTATAAATGTTCGTGCAAAATTTAAAAATATACATTGCTAATTTTTAGTTGATTTACATTTCATGGTTTTGTTGTATATTTTATGAAGAAACATGCAATACATGCATGCATAAACGCTACATACTGAATTACATGTTTTGTTTTTTTCACTTGGTTAAATTATTTGCTAAATAAAATATGCACTCTGACTTTTAAAAATGATATTTTTTTTTAAGTTTATCTCTAGCAAATTGTATGCATGCTTCTGCGTATGATTACTCATGTGTACAGGTATCAATAGATAAGCTGTCAGTAGACAGGGTCGGTTGGTGTTTGTGTGTGGGCACAAATTGTGTATGTGGATATGTGTACATTGCATTGAGGGGCAGTGTTCATATTGATGTGTGGAAATTAGCTTAAGGTTGGTGTTGGGGTGTGGGGGTAATGGTGGTTTTTGTAGTCTGTGTGTGAGTGTGAATAGACAAAAAAAATTATAAATATATGCACATACCAACTTTTTAACTATTAAAGCATCAAGGTTGAGACAATTCTCAAAATTCTTGATCATTAGGTTTTTGCATGTCATTGTCTTTCATTTTTATTTTATATGAACACTATATAAACGTATATTAAATTATTATAATCATTGTTATTATTTTCATTGTTGCATTATTATGATTAATATTATCAGTATTATTTATACTGTACCCATATTATTTAATGATATAGTATAATATATATTACATGGTATTAACTTTAACAGCAAATAAGATATAATCCCTAATAATTTTATTTATGCACATTTGTACAAAATAGAAATTTCTATTGCTATGTATCATAACTTATTATTATTGGATTTTATTAAAGTATGATAATGCCAAGATTTCGTACTTTTTATATAATTACTGTATAACCTAAAAATAACTGAATGTTGATTAAATGGCTTTTGGTGGGGGGGGGGGGGGGGTGGCACTGATATGATGTGATGTCTGCCATCGGCAGCAGATCCAGAAAGCAGGCTCGGGGACATGTTATTCTGTTGAAAACACTGCTTTGAAAACATGTTTTTACAGTGTGAAAGTGCCATTTCCAGAAATCAAGAGGTATCTATTTTTTTTAAATGTGCTCATGTGGGCTCTAAATGTGGGCCTTTTGGAGGGTATTGGGCTCCTAGTCAGGGGAAATTGTGACGCTGGCATTGTTTTTAATGACTTGGTACATGAGTGGGTTTTTTATTTTTAAGCTCGGGAAATTTCTAGTTTTTGGGTAGGAGAACCTTGGGTGCATGTTTTTTTATCCCCCACCATTCCCCATTTCCCAGGAATAATTATGAAGTCTAAGAAAACTTGTAGGCCTATAAAAGAGAATGGGTAAGGCTGATATTGAAAAAAAATGGAAGGACGCTATTTAATTTAGCCCGCTGATGGTCTCAACAGATTGGAACTTGCCACCAGCATAAAAATGTTGAATACCTGGGGTATAGACTAAATAATACTTATATATATTTTGCTTAATTTGTACAGTTGTTTGTAATGTTTGTACACAGGTGTTGATGAGTGCAATGTAGTGACCAATGATGGATGTTCGGAGAATGAAACATGCATCCGGACAACAGAGAACCAAAAGTGCTCATGTAAAAGGGGTTTTCGAAGAACTCGGTTAAACTGCCAAGGTAAAATACACAACACTTACAACTTGTTTCATAGCCAGGGTGGGGAATGAAGCATGGCCTAGGCCCCCAATTGCCCCTCCCTACCACAACATTGTTACGTCAATCGTGGAAGGATAAGATAACAGGCATACTGAGAACTACAAAATGCAACAAGTACATAGAGCCTACATTAAGTGAGTTGTCTGGTTGAGCAGTACACTATGGGAACCGGAAAAAGTGGCCTGTTATCAGTACAACTTCTGAATTATCATTCTAGGTTCAAGTTTAATGCTAAAACCAAATCTTCTTGGATAAGGACTCTGATACTGTAAGCAAAGTGTAGAGGAATGTCTCATGTGTACTTACCCAGAAGACTCTTCGAGAAGAGTAGGGTTACACTGGTGTTCTGGTCCACGCCTGCCAAATGTTGGACTTCTGTGAAAATAAACCAACATTGTTTAGTGATTATTTGTTATTTCTTGATTTATAACAGTGTGTTTTGTTTTGCATATATTATTATTTTTATATTAATATTATTATTGTGTATTGAACAATGCTAAAATAACCATTTTTTCCATATTAGATATAGATGAATGCAGCAGTAACGAGGATGAAGGGTGTGTGCACAGGTGTGTCAATGTACCTGGTAGTTATTACTGTGCTTGCTTCGACGGCTTTGTCCTAGCTGAAGATGGCAAGAATTGCGTAGGTAAGTTAGCCTATGCATAGAGGATACCTCCATATCCTCTGTGGTCTAAGAGAGAGTTTTCATACTGATTTTGTAATTACAACATTTTCAGCTGTATAGCTGCTCATTGAAAATGTATATTTTATACCAGAATAAATAAATAAATAAATAAGTTAATATCTTACAAGCTGGTGTAGAGTGATTATTGTGTGTTACCGCTCCCAAAACCTGTTTTATCCTTCAGATAAGGATGAGTGCGCATTAGGAGTGCATGGTTGCCAAGATCAGTGTGTGAACACAATTGGACGTTATGAATGCGTTTGCAATAATTCTTATTTAAATGAAGATGGGCGGACATGTTCAGGTAAGATCGTCAGTGTTTTTATAGTTAGCTAATTTTTACTCTGAATTGTGCAAAAATGAATAAAGTTTATCATGTTGAATGAATGAATGAATAACGAACAATGGAACAAATGATTGATTGAATCAATAAATGAATGAAGTAAAAAATCAAGAATGAGTGAAGAAATAAATGAATAAATGAGTGAGTGAATAAATGAAGTATTAAAGGAATGAATGATGGAAAAAACAATTTGAATCAATAATAAATGAAAAAAGGAATGAATGAAGGAATAAATGAGTGAGTGAATATAGTAATAAAGGAATGAATGAATGAGTCAATCAATTGATGAATGACTGCATGATGAAACAAACGATGGAATCAATAAATGAATGAAAAAAGGAATGAATGAATGAAGGAATAAATGAGAGTGAATATAGTAATAAAGGAATAAATGAATGAGTCAATTAATGAATAATTCAATGAATGAATGACTGAATAAATAAATCAATCAATCAATCAATCAAATAATCATTCCATCAATCAATGAAATGAATCAATAAATGAATGAATAATGCATGAATGAATGAATCAATAAGTAAATGATTCAATGTTGTTTACATTAAGTGTTAAAAATGTTATATCATCTTTAAAGTAAAGACAATAAATGATGTGATATAAAAATCTATTTTTTCTCTCTCTACCATGTATTTTCAGATGACCCAGGTTGTGTAAATCGAGACTTACATTGCGTGCACTACTGCGTGGATACAAGCGCAGGATCTATATGCCAGTGTCGCGCCGGTTACTCAACGTCATTAAACAGGAAAAACTGCATTCGTAAGTTTTTCAAAAACTGATATTTTGTTCCTTTGTCTTCTGAATCCATGAACATCTTGAAGCATCGAGCTATAAATTACTCTGTTACAAAATACAAAAAATATAATATATATACCGTGTCATAAAACTATGCTTTCTGTTTCACTTGTACCATACTTTTATTCTTTAGTTTGAGCCCCACGTTAAAAGCTTTGCTTACAGTGGGATTCCCTTTTCTCAGAAATAATCTGTAATCATTTTTTTGTAAATATTTTGTTATTTTTGAGAAATAAATTTATTTGAATTGATTGAATTTTGAATTGAATATATAACATAAAGGATACAATATTAAGGAGTATTTTAATAAATTGCATTATTATGTTGAGATAATATTATGAACATATCCCATATAGGCTATTATCATTGTACCAAACTAATTTAATCATAAGGTTGAATAACCAGATAAATCCTAAGGTTGAATAACCAGATAAATTTGATTAAAGCATAAACAATTTTGAATATTGAATCAACAGCTAAGTGTTCACTTGGTAACGGAGGATGCCAACACATTTGTGTTAATTCCCCTCCGGGTCCAATCTGCAGTTGTCACCCTGGTTACAATCTCAATACTGATGGTCAGACTTGTATAGGTGAGTTGAATTTCAAAAACATCATTAATTCATCAACTGTCATTATTCATTATTATTAACATTATTATTAATAAATGATAATTATTAATTACAATATTAATAATTGCTGTGAGTATAATTTTGTAAACAAATTGGGTAAAATATGCTGTAAGTTTACTTAATTATTGTTAATTATTAATTGTTGTAGAGGTAATAGCATGTTTAAAATGAACGCATGTCAGCTGTTTTACATCTTGCTGGACAATACTTAATATCATTTCCAACCCACCGTCAGAAATAAGTCTCATTATATTTTGTAATAATTTTTTCCTGCATTATTTTTGGGTAATAAAAGATATTCAATGAAAGTCATATTATTATTATTATGAACATTGTTTTAGCTGCTAGGAATGTTAAATATCAGAATGAAGAATTCATTTGAAAATGTTTAAGGCCTGTATCAGAATTGACAAATGAAATATACAGTATTAACTTTAAAAGAATATTGTCATGCCTGTAATCTAACTTTTTATTTGATTTGTGCATCATGATTTCAAATTTGTCTCTAACTTATGCCTATTATTTTTTGTTCATATTACTTTTTATGCATTACAAATTGTATCTTGAAATTGGAATAATGTTTTAACCAATGATTACTTTTGCAATAGTTGCACCATTTTAGACTTTAAAGAATATTAATCATTTCTAAAAATACTAACCCATTAAATCCTTAATTATACTTTTAATTGTTTACTACATTGCATACTGGAGGAAAGTGGGGACTGGTAAGGTGTAACTTATGTTTTTTCTATTGTGTTAAAAAAAACAGCTGTGTATGTGGCCTTAATCTCGTGTAGTGTAATATCACTTTAATTTGTGGAAATACTTTAACAAAAAGAAGACAAATTTTGAAGAAATTAAATGACCCATAGTGCTGGTCTGAAGTTGGGAGAAGCCCCTTTAGAGAAATGACATTTTACAATGAATATTATTGTAGTTGGATGTGGACAAGGATCAAATATGTCCCAAGTCTTAGGGGGGACAAATACATTCCAAATTTGTGGGAGATGAGGATGATGATGGAGGTTTTGATTGCTTAAGGGAGTGTGGAGGATATGCAAATTTATGAAAGACTCCAATGACCTGCGAACGTTTTGTGACCCCTGCATAATGTATTGTGGTAAACAGGATGTAGTTGTACCTAGATTATTAATTAATAAGATTAGCTTTATAATCCCTACACAGTAGAATTGACTTGTGGGTTAGAAACTATTAGATGCATACCAATAGAGGGCAGTATATAATATAGTTTTGAAAGCAAGATAGTGCAAGACTTGATATTGCTGTTGTTATTTTTACATTGCTTCATGTATATAACTGACTATACATTTAGGCAACATACCCTATTTGAAAAAATGTGATCTGCCATAATTAAACAAGTAGATAACCAAGCCTGGAATTGTCCATTGTGGACAAAGGGGCTATAACTTTGGCATGCCTGCATGTTGTAGTGTATGTTGATGCAGCGCTAGTTTATCATATATCGATTATATAGTTGATGAATCTTACTCAGAAACGTGCGGTCTGAATAACGGCGGGTGCCTGGGAAAGTGCACAGATACAGATGGCGGTGTGGAGTGCAGTTGCCAGGAAGGATTTCGACTTCAGCCAGATAATCGCTCATGTAAAGGTAGAGTCAAAATATCAGAAGGCACTTGAAATTTAAAATAGATAATAATCATAAAATAAAAATAGAATCAAATTCAGGGGTTCCAAGTTGGAAGAAACCTTTTCCTGGAGATCTGGTTAAATGAGCTTTTATACCATATTTAATTTTATTTTACTACACATGATGATGCCTATCAGCACTGACTTTTGTGAGACAATTGATAATAAAGTAGTAAAAACATGCAATTATTATGAATTTGCAGGAGATGAGTTATTATGCAAGAGATTCTTGCTTGCATGCGCAAGTGCAGGAGGCCATCCCGATTTCTGGGAGACTCCTGCGACTTCTGAGAAACATAGGAGCCCTGCAAGTTTAACATGGAAATATTTAAACATGGTATAAGTTACCTGAAAAACTGGAATTTTTGACAATCATTTGACAGTTAACTGGCAGATGGATTCGGCAAGCTGTTCTCAAGCTTGTTAGATTAATTTGGCTTTTGGTATTGCTAAACTATATTTATTGTATGATCTTTACTTCTGAAAGTGTATAAATAAATAAAACCCTAAAACCAAAAAAAATATATTATATGTTATATATTTGTAGATATAGATGAATGCTTGATTAACAGAGGAGGGTGTACAAATGAATGCAGAAACAAGATTGGAGGTTATGAATGCATCTGCCCCAAGGGCTTCATTCTCTCATCAAATAAAAAATCCTGTGTTGGTAAGTAATATCAATATTAATATTTATATCTTATAACACACTTTCTGGCCTTTTATTTAACTATGTCCCCTATTCTGTTGAACATCCTGCAATATACTAAAATTATTAACCACCATCATTGTCATCGTTATCATCATCATCATTATCATCGTCATCACCATTTTTATTACTCCTGTAAAGTATTCCTCTCCCGGGATTTTAAAAAATGGATACTCAAAATCGATCATTAACTGGTAAAAAAATTAAAGCAAAATGTTTATATGTCATTTAAGACAATCTCTTTAAACACGGCAAGTTTTAGCAGGATATAAAATTTAATTTTAATGAAACCCTAGAGTGTCTTGTGACCTTATATTTTATTTGGTGACTCATAATTTGAAAGCCACTGCTTCAAATTTATTACATAGGTACGTGATAAAATTGTTTAATATAAATATAACTGAATCTTTATGGACATTATTTTTGAAGTGGTTTCAAATGGATTTGACAGTTGCAATGTATTTTTTTTAATTAAAAATATAGATCATATAATAAAGAATTATTTTAATTTTCAGATGTAAATGAGTGTGATGAAGAAGACACCTGTGAACACACCTGTATCAATACAGATGGGAGCTTCTATTGTTTATGTAACCAAGGATACCAAGCATATGGCATCACACACTGTGGGGGTATGGTTTTATAATGCTTTCCCCTTTTCCTATGGAAAGCACAATGTAGAAAAACAAAATATATTACTGTTTTTTTTCATAATTATAATAACAACACTAACAAATTTAAACAAAAAATATATATAGTCCAGATTACTTACAATTAAAAATTACTTCTTGAATAAGGCTTGTCAGATGACAGTCAAAAATCCAAAGTAAGAAATTTTCACTTTTTATGTTGTGAGACCAGTTCTTTAAAACTTCATTTCAACATAAAAATTACTTCTCCTTTAGACATGGATGAATGCTCGGTGAACAACGGAGGGTGTGAGCACAATTGTGTCAATCTCCCAGGCCGTCATTACTGCACGTGTAACAGGAACTTCAAGTTACATCCAAATGGCAAAGACTGCGTTGGTAATAATAAGGCTGAGATCACATGTCATACATATATTTCACGATAGCAAATGTGCTAGGTTGATTTAATAATAATATTGGCTATGTTCTCACACGGCTGCTAACGGTTAGCAGGATCCGGATCCTGCTAACCGTTAGCTGCTGTGCGTCCATACGAGAAAATCCCGATCCGGATACCAAAAATATGATGATCGAATCACTGGCCAATAAGAAACTGGAAATTGTAAACTAACTATTGTAGCTAACGGTTAGCGCTAACCGATCAGGCGTTCTTACGCAGGTGCAAACGGTTAGCGCTAGCGGTTAGTTCCTGATCTGGATACTAGGGCTCTCGTGAGAACCAGGCTATTAATAATAATAATGGTAGACTTATATAGCGCATTATGTTAAACCCTCTATGCGCTTCACATTGGCCGTATTCGACTGGTTGTTCTTTGTTAAACCACGCCCATCTGACAGTGGTAAAATCCTACTTAAAGAATACAACCAGTCGAATAGAAAACTGATAAATACTCAACAAAACAAAATGGCTGCATAGTTACCGCGATACGTGCTGCGTAATTAAGGCTGCTTCGGATTGTGGCAGTATGGGTTTTTCGTAAAAAAATGTTTTCATACAGTTTTTAATTCTGTTACCCTACAATTATTTTTTGACTTCAATGTGGGTAAATATTATAATTTTTATTTTCTGAAATTTAATCTGAATTATATTAACGCAAATGTTATTGCTAAACTGACCAATCGTTACGTGCATAACCTAATGCTGATTATCGCATTCAGGTTACGTTAATTTTCGTTGTCAACCAAGTCTATTTTATGAACCAGTCAAACGAGAATAATACTCAACGAAAATTCATAATCAACGAAATGAACCATTCGAATAAGCCGTATATCATTACTCCCGCTCATTGGATTAAACACCTATGGAACACAAACTCAAGCTCCCTGGGGGAGTATTCCATAACGTTGCAACAGCTACATCAGCACATTTTGTCATTTAACCCTACTAGGTACCCACTTATACTTCTGGGTGGAGAGAAGCAATGCAGATAAAGTGCCTTGCCTTAAGCCGTATATCATTACTCCCGCTCATTGGATTAAACACCTATGGAACACAAACTCAAGCTCCCTGGGGAGTATTCCATAACGTTGCAACAGCTACATCAGTGCATTTTGTCATTTAACCCTACTAGGTACCCACTTATACTTCAGGGTGGAGAGAAGCAATGCAGATAAAGTGTCTTGCTCAAGGACACAAGTGAAATGCACAGCGAGGGATTGAAACCCCGACCTCAAGGTTGGGAAACCAAACTGTTCCCGCTGCACCAAACAACTTCCACATTGACATTTGTATTTCATGCACATTTTGTAAAGCTGTTTTATTGATAGGAAATCCAACAAAAAATGTATCAGTTGTTTACCCATAGTTGTAATCACCTCCTAAAGTATGTTTTCAGGCATACAAATTTTAAAATGTTGTTACTCAACCTATAAAACACCAAAATGATATTAACTGTTAGTGTCATAGATAAATATATCAAAAGGCTAGTTAAACAAAATATGAATAATTGATTTATGCTATTTGTTTATTTTATGTAGAGTGGACAAGTTGTCTTCCTTTACGTACACCGCCTAAAACTGTTCTTGATTGCAAGAACAGCGTCGGTTACTGCACCATCACCTGCAATACAAACTCATATTTTTCAACATCAGTGCAAGGTCGCAACACGTTTGTATATCGTTGCAACAAAAGCACTCAGTTTGAATGGTACAACAACGATCTGAATCGCACGATGCCATCTTGCTCAGGTACGTGTAATGTTGTGTTGTGGTAGGTTTTTTTAGCTTCTAACATTTGCCACGTCATTAGCTCTTGGCCAAATATTAAAACAATTACGACACTTTAAATCATTTATTTTATTTCTTTATCCTTTATACTGGAGAACCTGTTTACTGTTCTCCCACAGGCCCAGAATCATAAATTGTCATTTTCTATATGTTATTGAAAAATAAGTGACCAAAAGTTTGTATACCATCAAGATTATATTTAACACTTGATATCATCAGTAGGTCAATGCACAACATTTTTATTAATCTTTGCCAGGCTCCCTTCCCCAACCCCGTTTTTCATGATGATGATTTTATACTTTAAATTTGAAATGTGGCTGGTAGCGCACCTTCAGTCACCTGTATTCCTGGAGGTGGGGGTGGGTAAAGAGCTACATTTCCAGGGTTGTAGCTATTGAAAAATAAGGGTGGGGGGATAGATATTTTGAGAGTGGGTGCGTGATAATATTGGTAAACTCTAAATAATACGAGTGGATGTTAAGGATGGAAAAGTAGGTTAATAAGGCCATGAAATTAGCTTTAGACTGGGTGGAAAACTTCAAGGCTGGGTGGGTGGCCCCGCCCACCACCGCCCATTATAACTACATCCCTGATTTCTTTAAATTCAACTCCACTACCTAAGCTTATTATTTTGTAGAACATCATATAGTCATTACCATTCTGTATTAGGTGGCGTTTTGTTTTGACGCATCATTGAATGAAATGAAGAAAGCTTAATAAGAATTCATTGTATTAAGTTATTTTATATAACTTATTTGCAACCATAAGATTCATTTCATTGCTTACATGAGTAGGTTTGTTGAAAATTATCATTTCATCCATAAAAAGTAGTAGAATATATAAAACTAGATGATTATGAGCTGTCCATCTCCCACCTAACACGGCATTTCAATTCGCATTTGTAGAAATTCATTATTTTTTTAACATGGCCATTTTGTTTCTCCCTTCTACGAGCAGAAGCAATCGCCGCACCAACATACAAGCGTAAAGCCTCGTTTAATTTCGCAGCCGATCGATGTCGGTCGAAAGCAAAAGTCACAAATCGTTTCCAGGAGACTTTAAATAGGAAACTCTCAGGTACAAAAGCTGTTCTGCTAATACTCACCCCTCTTTATTTTCTCTGCTTACTAACTTCATGCAAACATATAAATCTTTGCAAAGCTGAACATCAGCAGAAGCATGCTCCAGTAGCCACTGCAGAGTTTGATTAATTATTTGGTTTTCATTTATTTATGAAAATATCAACAAAAACTATGTGGCAGAATTTAGAGTGTCACTGTGCTTATATATAAATAATGATTATGCAGGACAAATTTTCTATAAAACGATTTTAAATAATAGATGATAGCCAGGGAGTCTTTTACAAATGTCATCCATGTATTTTTTGCTAAGATCTTCTTGACTATTAAAAAAAAAATAACAAAATAAATTGTGTTTTTTCATTGCTAATTTGCATTTTATTAGTTAATAAAGCACTAATTAACATAAGTATTGTTATTTTTGCTATTATTATTTTCATCATAAAAGCATAATTGTTCAAATTCATTGTCAATGTAACCTGTCATAAAATATATTTATTCCAGAAATTTATGATGAAACTTGTACTGACCATTGCCAAGTGAACTCTGTTGAATTACGTTGTACTCCAAATCGAAAGAAACGAACCAGACGTGGTGATTCAAATCGATCATTGGTCATCAAGGCAGAATTTGAAATCCAAATTATTGCAAGAGAACCTACAGGTGTTTTTTTTTTGTTTCAATTCTTTCTATGACGATCGACAATAACTATCATGGGGCTGCCAAACTTTGTACAGCTTCGTGAAGGACTTATAACTGTTAACAGTTATAAGTCCTTGGCTTTGCCCTCCTCCTGTATTTGAGGAAATCATAAATTAATTATTATATCAGTGACAGTGATGACAACAGGGTATCAGAGAAAATAGATTTTTTTCTCATACCACCATGAATCTTTATGCTACACTTTTTTTATACCTTGTTTTGTGAACTTAAGTTTTTTAAAGATTGTCAGAGGAGGGTGAAAAAAAAAAGTAAAATCTTTTTTCATTTAAAGAGTTTTGCCAAAAACATCCAGACAGAGGAGAAAATAAAAATAAAATTTTATTGGTGAATGTAAACAGTGGAGTAATGGGATAGTTAAATGCTTTAAATTTATATAATTAGGAAGAAATATAATACATATCTTATTTCTGGAGATTTCATGGCAGCGGAGGCATAATAAATATAAGAAAACATTTATTTTTTTCTGAAATTTCCATTTTTTTTTATGGCAGCTGCGGGTGCGCTTAATTGGCAACGGAAAATTTTATTTTTACTTAAAATCATCATTATTGGCGGGCGACAGTTTCGCCAAACAAGGTATAAAAAAGTCTCGCTTTAATGAAGGGTTATATAATTTTCTTTAGAATCCTGTAACATCGATTGCGTAACAAGGGTGAGTGAACGAACACTAAAGCGGACAGTTAACGAACTTCGGAAGTCAATTAACAGGAAACACTTCAAGGTAGACTTCAATGGTAAAGAGTATGAAGTCATCAAAAGGTCATTACTGACAGAGAAGATGGAGATGCTGTGTAACGTAGGCAAAGTAATGGTCGCTGGAAAGTGCGGTAAGTAGTGGTTCTTAGGTCCTGACACATTTGAGAGACCTGGCCCCAACCCATCCTAATGGTGTCACACTCGGCAATAATCTCTTGGTCGTAAGGTTCAGGGTTAACATAAAATTATCTTCATTATCATCATTTCAGTCAGGGATGTGATAGAATAGGAAATGTATGTGCTCTGAACCATGGAGACGATCCTTACATAACCTTGGTTCCGTGTTACATTCCATTGCTGCTGTCTTTGTGTTTCAGCTGGAGGGCTAAAATAAAAGTGTCTTTCGGATGAAAAGATTAAAGCCATTAGCCCCCATGTGCTGTATGGCAAATGTGCATGTTAAAGAATGCATTCCGCTTTTCGGAAGAGTAGGGATTATCTCTCAGTGCACTGCCCAATTCACCACCATTGGACCCTGCAAAAAATTTAATTATTATAACGTTAAATCATTAAAAACGTTTAAAAAAATATTTTTTGTTTATACCTTGTATTGCAGTTGCTTGCAGCATGGGCACTTATTATGATAAAACAAAAGGACGATGCACACCATGTCCTAGTGGAACTTACCAGGACACAGAAGGAAAAATGGAATGTATTCTATGCCCATCTAGGAGGAATGACTTTGGAATTATTGGTGCAAGAAATGTAACAGAATGTGGAGGTACAGGAAATGGTCAATTTCTATTCTATGAGCCACTGTCTTTATAATTAGTGTGGCATATCTTGGAATATTTACATGCTGTCTCTTATACACATCAGTATTGTTATTTTTGCTATTAAGAGGAGGGGGCTTGAGGTCTAAGTGATGGCGACGTAGGTGGCAAAAATATGTTAAAATGTGATTTATATAAATGTGATATGCCATTCTTGACAATCAAAATTTGGCCTACTTATATCAAGTGTGAATTATGATAATAAAAATAAGATTCATAATAGATGAATGAAATAATAATAAAGTTATAAGAATGATGCTAAGATGAAAAAGATGAGGGGGACATTGATGAAAAAGATGATAATTATGATAATGAATATAATGATGCTAATATAAAAGCAGTATTACTTTATAAGTAAAAAAATGCCTGTGACATATTTAATTTATATTATTTAAACATAATTTAATAATATGAATGATTATACAGTATTCTATATGATACACAGTATAAGTGATAACATATTTCCTGATCATTCTTATTACATACATTTTATCCAGGTCAATGCCGTCCAGGAGATTATTCCAAGAATGGATTTCAGCCGTGCAGTCCATGTCCCATTGGTCATTTTCAACCAGAGCCTGGCCGAGCCTCTTGTAGACCTTGCGGAGGTGACCTAATCACAGCAGACGTTGGTTCAGCTTCATTTCAACTCTGCCAGGTCAAAGGTATATCCAGACGAATATCTCTCTGTAGACTAAGATTTGATAACACAGCAATTATTATAAAATTATTTTGGGCACTTATTGGAAAATATGGTCCTGAAAAAGTCATTATTGCCCAAAAAATATTATTAAGCAGATTCTGTAAATTCAAATGTATAATTTATACCAATTTGCCATGATTAATTTATAATTTTGTATGACATGATTTGTGAAACTACACATGGTTAACTCGGTCTCTTGATTGAAGGGACAACAAAACATAAATATAGACACCAGGCCAAACCTCAGTTCTATAATGCAAATGTTGAATGAAATCTTCATATAGATAATTGCCAGGCTGGGAAATATTATGATATAGCAACACACCAATGCCAACCATGCAGGAAAGGATTTTACCAAAACGAAACTAAAATGAACTACTGCGTCCGCTGTCCTGGCAACACAACAACAGATTCAGTGGGAGCAGATGATGTCACAAAATGTAAAAGTAAGATAGTTTTCATTATTTCAAATACAAATTTGTTTGCCAAGTGTTACAGAAATAGGCAGC